ATAGTATTAATGGTAGTTAATGAAATGTAACTGCTGTTAATTTATTGTTAACAATAATTTCATTTGTGAACAATACAATAAGGTGAATTGTGAGTAATATTACATTATCTGTATGACTATGTGTAGAAATATAAATTAGGAATGTATACTAGGTATTACTTATGTAGTTAGGTGATTCAATCAAATTTATTTGATAAAAAATATGCGTCAAAAAATAAAACTTTAACTGTGGGTTGAATGACGACAGCCTGCATGCAGATCCCCTGCAAATGTAGATAATACCTGTACTAACGTCGTCGACTTGGCACTGTACAATTATTTTAGCATCACAGCATTTTCGCAACAAAACAGCAATCAAACCAGGTAAAAATATTTAAAAAAGTCCTAATAAGGGATCCCGGACGAAAGAGCAGGGCACATCCTTAGGGTATATGAATTCAACATAGAAGACATCTCAAAATCAAAATCCGAATACCTAGCTAATTCAATGAAACGGTTTGATATTTACGTTATTCATGTCCTTCAGGAGACATACATATGATAATAATAACTTGGAATCAAGAGGAAGGATCGAAGGCTACAATTGAATCTATACACAGCAAGGTTTACGGTATTCCAATTTAAGTCAGAAATTATATAACAGACGTGCATATAATACATGAAAGTGACGGATGGAAAAATGATTACTCCCCTGATATCTGCATAATATCAAAGAAATACCTGAACGAAATTCCAAAGGCAAGTAAAAAAAATCATGGATAATTTCACACACAGTCAACATAGACCTGTAATAGTAGAATAGGGACTACTGGTCCAACTAGTAATGTCAGCCCCAATCTCAAGATGGAATCTTAAAAAAGCAAACTAGTCAATATTCTGAAAAAGCATAGATTAAATTGTTAAATGGATCACATACACCCCAGGTTCACATAACAAATTTGCCAAAGGTGTAATGTATCAGCTAAAATAAACATTTCCAAAGTATACCGAAAAGAATACATCCTAGGATAGAATAATCACTGTGAAAACCTAATGGACAAATATATAGAAAAAATGAAAACGAAGATGTTAAAGATGCTTTAATGGAAGCCTTAGATGACCAACGAAGGAAATCCTGGATTGACAAAACCGATTAAATTTCACTCATTCAAGTAGAAAAGCATGGAGCCTAATAAGAAGACTTAGATATACTAAAAAATACGCAACAAAACAAACAAACAAACGAATGGCAAATAATATCGCAGAACACCTTAAATAATCATCAAAAAAAACAGTCAACAAATAATGGACTAAAAAAGTAAACCAACTACGTAAAGAAAAAAGAGACCTCCCTTACAGCACTGGAATTGGTAAAGAAATAATTACAGATAAATTGGAAACAGCATTACGTCTAGTACCGTATTTAGACATTTTGCGCCACGGTACAAAAAAAAAAATTGGCGCCCCTCTGAGGGGCCTACCCACGGAAAATATAGGAGATGGATCCTCATAAACCTTTTAGATATTTTCAAATCAATGCTATTTTTGTATAATAGGCACGCCACCGAAAATCGTACGCGATAACAACAAATTTGGGAACTATATTATAATATTAGGTATATTAATAATATTCTGAATCGCTGATAGATATATTGCTATAAATAAATTAATAATTTATATTAATAAATGAAATACATTAACATTAATTTATGATACTGTTATTAAAAACAAAAAAAATAATAATCTATATACATAAATATGGAGCCAAAAATGTATAACATTTCATCAATTAAGAACGCCGGGCCGATTTGACTCAATTTTTTTTAATTGTTCGTAATTGCCAGGAGAAGATTTTTATCAAAAAATTTTTTGGAAAAGTGCTATTGTTTAATAAATCGTAGTTTAATTTAATAATTTTTGACCCGGTCGATAACTGCGCAATTGAAAATGAATTATTAAATGATATTATTAAAAAACTATTAAAAACTAAAAACTATTTAAACTAATTTAATTTTTGGTATTAAATGACCGGTATTACATAAATATTTAACAATAAGATCCCGCAACAGGTTCCAAAACAAACAAGAATGTTAGTTCGAAGGATTATTATGTATATAGGTTGATGATTAGACGCGATCAGGACAACGTTAGTCAACGATGTCGTGAGCATTGTCAACAATTAATGGTCGACATGTATGTAAAGATAGAGAGGGAACGATTTCGATACTTGCGATTCAATCAAAATCATGTTTTTCAAATGGACAATTAAATGTGGCATGCACTCGAACCGTCCAGTTTGTGTTGGTGAAAGATGGAATAACAAAAAATATTGTACACTCTGTTACATTATGGGATTGATATTACTTTTTACTAATATTGTCATAATTAGCGATATATATCATTTTAAAGGATCAATTTTAATAAATTATCAAATAAATAAATGTTTGATAACTATTTTTTCATTTTTAGATTCCGTCACCGATCACAGCACTCCATAACTCTTCCACTTATATACCACATCCTTACACACTTATATTAGATTAGTTATTTTTTTCTATCAAAATATTCTCTAGAAATAATTTATATGACAAAACAACGTTTGTCGGATCAGCTAGTTTCAAAATAATTTTAAAAATTCAATAATTCACAAGTGAGCAAATTTCTGACTACAAAATTTTGGCACCCTCAAAAAACTGGCGCCCGTGGCAGTTGTATCCAGTGCCCCCCTCTAAATGCGACCCTGATCATATTAACTTATATGATACCTTTGACGAAACAACGCATTTTAATAATATGTTTATAGGTACTATTAAATATTTTAATAATATACACAGATTTATTTCTGAGTGAAACCCCACGAGTCACGTAAAATGAATTAACTATAAATTAATAATAATAATAATTTAATTTAACTAAAAATTAAAGAAAAATAATAATTATTACTACCTACTGCTTTTTTGAATATAATACACAAGTTATGTAACACAACATATATTAAATAAATGTTATATTTCTATCTATGTACAATATTATATTGTACATATCTGCTTTAGAAAGTTTTTTTCAAATAATTTTCGACAAAAATGTTAAATTTACAAAAAAAGTAAATTTAATGAACCCTTCTCCTATAATTATGTTGTCTCCTCAAAGCCTAAATATAAGTATAAAAATATTTGGTAGATGGGGGAAAGTGGTTGCTAAAAATGATTCTTTGTACCGGGAGTTAATTATGCTAGTGCGTCACTGATCTATAATTTTTTTTTTTTTTGTAAAGTATGAGGGAAAGTATATAATTTGTATATTTATTCATACAAGAAATTAATGGTCTTAGATTTAAGTTAATGTATTATTTCAATTCATTATCAATCACTGATTGCAATGTTATAAAAAATATACCAAGGGAAAACATTTTTTAAAATCCTTTTTCAAAATAAAATCCTGGATTTGCCATTGACAGGTTATATATTTAAAAATAAACGATTAAATTTTTTTTATTATATTTTATTACTTAAATAAAATAATTTCATCATTATTAACATGTAGACCGTGTGGCCTAATGGATAAGGCGTCGGACTTCGGATCCGAAGATTGCAGGTTCGAGTCCTGTCACGGTCGAAATTAAACTTTTGCATTTTTTTTTCCTTCCCTTTAAATATTACCATATTATTAAAGTTTTTTCATCGATATCGATATGATATAACTCCTTTACAAATATTCAATTTCGATATTCTAAATATATTATACGTCATATCGACAATCGATTATAGCTACTTTTCGCTTTAATAAATAATATTATACTGTCAATTAATGGGTTTTTATTTATTAAAAAATTAAGTTTAAATAGCGCATGATAACGGAAAAATAATTATTTTATCAATGACACAATGAAATAGTTTGTAGTATTTATACTGAAGTCAATTATCATTATTGTTCCTGATATTCATGACTTAAATTTCGTGATTTTAATTCATTCAAATGATTATTGTTTTTTTTTTTTTTTTTATAGTGGCTGATTTTTTTTTTATTATGGCTAATTATTAACTTGAGTATCAATAAGTCGGAATATAGATATCGGTATTTAAATTTTTTTCCGATATTGTAATCAAATATCACGGAAAATCAAATGATATCGACATTCAAAAAAAAGAGAGCATTTAGGAATTAACTCCACTCGCCCTTTTTAATTACAAATGGCATATACTCAAGAATTTTTTAGAATTGCATCAATGATTATGATGTTTCTTCTACGTTTAAACATTCTTGCTTTGGCCGGTCCCGTCGTATTTTTTTTTTTAATTATGCTGTTCACAAGTACTGTTTTGCTATTTTAATTTCAGTCTTTCATACGTGGCCTTTCAATCTTGCACCTCTTAAAAATTTAACAATATTTCCTTTTTTTTATATTTAATTCAGCTATTTGTTTGTCCTTCATTCTCAATCTTTAGTATCTGGGTTATAAATAAGTCCATCAATTCTCCTTAACACTTTCTTCTCGAAATATTTAATCAATTTTTGTCTCCTACGTTTGTATCTACTTACATGCATATGTCACCATTGGTATAAGATATATAATGTATAGGTTTTATTGATTTTGTTTCATTTGGGCTTTGACTTAAACAGGTATGGCATGATAAAGTAGGATATAATTTCAGTTTTCGGACGCAGACTGATTTCGTTATGTATGCAGTTCCTATTATTTGTCCCCGAGTTATTTACAAGTCCTGTACTTGTTGGAAAGCTATTCCATCCACTTGAAGAGTTGACTCTTTCTGATCGTCTCGTACGTTTCTTGTCGTATACATATAGTCTTCTCATTCACTGATGTGATAATTATAAATTATACTAAATAGAGTATAAGTATAGAAATCTATATCCCCGAAATATTTACTCTTATCAGTTAATAGATTTTTCCTCTTTATCAAAATTACTTTAATATCAATAGATGATAATAACAGTGTCAATAAAAGTAGAATCTGATATCAGTAATCAAAAATTACCAAATTTATCGCTTCGATTTACGTTTACGAAATGCTTATAAATATTTATTTATTTTTTATTTAAATATTAAAATGTAAGAACAGTTTGATATAAATTTACGTCAGTTATATACTTCAAATCTTAATCCTTGATTTAATTATTATTATTTTAGTTAAAATTATTCGTTTTATTTCTAATATTTATTTGTAATTTGTAATTAAAATTTATGAAAATTTGAATATGGCCGCGCATGAAGGACTTGATTATGACCCCACGGATGGTCATTATTCTGATGTTGTGTTAACAATTCGAATTCTTATGGGAAAGGTAAAGGCATCTGCTATATATAATAAGCTTTTAAACAAAATCTTATGTTTTTAGAGACTTCACAAGTTATGTTCAAACTATTTTCAAATTAATTTATGGTACACCCTCAAAATATCCCCCGTTAAATTTATCCCCTTTACAAATATCCTATGTTGAAAATATCCCCGTTACAAATATCCCAATTAAAAATATCCTATAAACAAAATAACCCCAGTAATATTATCCTTTAATTCATATTTATATTTTATTTTTAAAAAAACATTTTATAAATTTTAATTACACTTTTATTATTTTTAGCAATGTATATTTCGACTTGCCATACTATATTAAAATTAACATAATTTTTAAATTAAATATATATAAAAAAAGATTTTTTTTTAAATAAAAAATTACACCCGATGCCTTTTAAATATTTTAGTATAATAGGATCTTCATACTTAAGAACCACTTCATTTAATTGTCTGTCCAACTTCTCGTAAATTTTCTTTTTTTTATCGGGTAGCTTATCAGACATGTATTTTTTAATTTCTGCTTCTTGAAAGCCTAAATAATTGTAAAATCATAATGTAACATAATTGTAATAATATTACTTAAAAAAAATTAAAAAAAAAATAATAATTATTCATATAATTGTATATTTTACTTACTTTGCTCTAATTAGAGACACTTGATAAATTTCCATATCGATGGTTCTTAACTATGAACATGTTACTGAAATTAACTATTTAAAAGGTATTGCGTGTAATTTTTATGTATATCATTATGAATTAAGGGATAATATTACTGGGGATATTTTGTATATAGGATATTTTTAATTCGGATATTTGTAATGCGGATATTTTCAACGTAGGATATTTGTAACGGGGATATTTTTAAAGAGGGATATTTTCAACGAGGGATATTTTGAAGAAAAACCTTAACTTATTACTGTTCATAATTCATATTAATAACAAGTTTAACTTTATAGCTAACACTAACTAAAACACTAACTTATTTATTAGTAATATAATAATATACTACAATGAGTTGTTAAATTAATTTATATTTCCTTATAGGAAATCCTTCCTCTGATTGGTGAATATGGAGAAGTTGTAAGAGATCTTCGAAACCAAGTAACTATACATATTTTTAATTTTTTTTTTTAATAGGATTATATTGATAATATTGATAATGTACTATATTTTATTAATGTAGTCTGAAGCTACAATTTCTATTACTGATAGTTCAACTCCAGAGCGCATAGTGACTGTTACTGGCAACATAAACATTATACAAAAAGCATTTGCTTTAATTACAAATATTTTGGAACAGGTAATACAATTCATAAAGTTTATCAATTTATTTATGGTAAATTTAATTTATTATTCAATTTAAAATTAATTTAAAAATTTATTAGATTTCTATTATGTTATTCATTTCATTGTGTTTCTACATGAAAAAATGGTGCAATTTTACAAAAATATTAAATTTTCATGACATACTACGTTCAATAAATACAAATTTAACAGACCCTTATTTAAAGAAGAATCTTCTAATTCTTGTTGATATTAATATATTATGAGTAGCTTAAATATTTCAAGATCTATCTTATAAAATAATAATATCTTCTGTAATTATTACAAATTGGTTATACTAATGTCTTGTTAAATTTACATAACTTTTTTATTATTTTTGTTTAATTATACTAAGTTCATTTTATATTACTCGATATATATAGTTTTTTTTTTTTTTTTAATGTAATTTATTATTTTATATGTCCTAAGTACATTTTAACAAAATATATTTTTTTAGAATTCTATACATCTTCAAAATAATCGAAAGTCATCAAATACAAATTCTACAACACTAAAACTTATCGTTCCCGCATCTCAATGTGGATCATTAATTGGAAAAGGAGGTGTAAAAATTAGAGAAATCCGAGAAGCTAGTGGAGCTATGGTAAATGTAGCATCAGATCTTTTGCCAAATTCTACAGAAAGGACTGTGAGTATTAGTGGTACAGCCGAAGCTATCACTGAAGCTATTCATCAAATATGTATTGTTATGTTAGAGGTATGTATGAGAATTTTCAATCAATTTTATTTTACTCTCATTATATTTTATTATTTGTTTTTACATTAGACACCTGGAAGAGGACCTACAGTTGCTTACAGACCTTTAGTAACACAGCCAGGACCTGTTGTATTTTGTGGTGGCCAGGCTTATACTCTACAAGGTTCACTTGCTATTCCAGCTGTCGGTGATGTAAGTACATTTTTATTGATATTTTTGGCATTCAATTAAAATGAATCAAATCACGTGGGTATTTAAAAAAAATGTAAATGTACTTTTTTTAATGTATTATATCTATTAATATAAACAATTATTATATTTGTTATAAAAAAAAAATCTATGATATAAATATAATTTCATTTATTTCATTTAAAAATGTACCAATTTTATATTTTTGTTATAAATCGTTACTATAAACATTTTTTTTACAATATTTATGTTATTTGAATTACTTAAAAACCCTAAGTTTTTTAATTTAATACTACAAATAAAATATTTAAAAAAAAAAAAAAATTTTAGCAATCACCTTCTAGTACTGCCTTAAATACTATTGCAAGTATTGCTCCAAATTTAATTGCAGGTTCAGGATTAGATCCATCAGGTAATAAAAATAATTTAAAATTTTATCAATATTTGTCTGTATAAATCAATTATTATTTTAGTATTGGCTGCATTAGCTGGTAGTCAATTAAGAGGAGGTGGTGTCAGTTCAAAAACTTCACAACAACATATTACTCATGAGATGGCTATACCAAATGATATAATTGGATGTATTATTGGTAAAGGAGGAACTAAAATTGCTGAAATTAGGTATATTTTTTATTATATTTTAGTTTTTACTTATATTTATATATTTTTCCTAAAAATTAAAATTAATTCTAATTTAATTTCCTAATAAGAAAATTTAAACTATATTTTTGATTTAAAAAACTACTATAATGAAAAATAAATATTCAAAATATTATTTTTATTAAATTTATATATATATATGTGCATATAATATATAATATTTTTATACAGAAGAATAAGTGGAGCCATGATAAGAATATCTAATACTGAAGAACATGAAGCGTCTGGAAAAATGGAAAGAGCTATAACAATCAGTGGACAAGCAGATGCAGTTAATGTTGCTAAAACTTTAATTAACCTAAGGTAGGTGATAAATAAGATTTCAAAAGAATAATTAATATTTATGTTATTATTTTTTACAGTGTTGATCAGTACAATAAATCATCTGGAGAATCAGCTGATTTTGATGAAGAATTTTCATCTAATTTTACAGCAGATGCAAAGACAACAACTGAAACTTTGGCAACATTACTATCAAATCCAAAAAGTTTAGGAGCCTTAGGGGCGTTAACTGGACTCAAGGAATTATTAGGAAATATTAACAGTAAAAAACAATTAAATAAAAAAAGAGATAAAATCGATAAATTCACTCCATATTGAAACACCTACTTATTAAATATCATTGTTATTTTGTTTAAGATATTTTTAATAATCTTTATTTATTCCAAACCGTAATTTTTTTTTTTTTTTTCATATATATTATTGTAAAATTTAACAACAACTATGTTCCAAAACAAAGTATTTTTTTTCTGTATCAGAAAAATATAAAAGTGGCTCAAAAAAAAAAATTTGATAGAATTAATTTTAAGTACTGCAATTCTTCATGGACATGCCTATGGGGAGTTTATGTGTTTAACCCCCTTCTCTACGAAATGTTAACAGATTTAGAAAAAAATTATTGATTAATATTTTTATACAATTTAAATTTACTGCCAGGATTATTGAAGTAAAACTTCTTTACTGAGGGTATAACGAATATATTTAGTCACGTGACCGATTGATCAGAATGAAACAACTGAACAATACACTAATAAGGCGCATCGTATATCTGGTACGCTACAGTCAGTATACCACCCCACTACCATACCACTTTTATTTTCTACCCCAACTTAGCGGATATTGAAATTAGAGACCCCGGACCCAGGGTGATCTGAGTTTTTATGGCCTCAGAGTAATTTCCCCCATTCAGGAACAAATGCCCCCCTCCCCCTCATTTTTAATTAGCCATAACTCGGTGAGGTTTCAATTTAATACCCCCTCGACCAACTGGGAATCATTCTGGAGGTGCGGGACTACAGGTTTCTACTATAAGAAACGGGGAACCCCCTCCTTTTTGGCTTTTTACTTTTTTGCTGTCCAGGAGGTAACTAGGACCTACCCTGCTGCTAGGAAACGTGGGTTTCGAATTCCTCCCTCCCTTGCTAACCTCAATGGAAAAAATCAATTCAAAGAAACAAATCAAAGAACTTACATATCTTATTTCAGCTATCCAAAAGAAATATCTACAGATGAGTCCACCGATGAATACATGGAAATTGATGAATTAGAATAAGTTTATTCTAATTCTTTTATTTTTATATATTTTTCTGGATAAAAAACTATAGTCTTAAGAATGTACACCACACCTATCGCTATTAAATGATTCAGATTGACATATTTTTTTTCAAAAAATAGACAAACATTTTTATAAATGTAGGGATGATAGATGTAGATACATGACCTCCACGTGGTGCACCCCGGTTAATGCTAACAATATATTGGAATAAGCCTCGATTTAAACATATCGTTAGCTGTGATAGACCCGAACTATTATTCCAACCTGTCAGTCACGTCACTAATTTTTTTCTCGAACCCTCAAAATAAAGTAGTTACACTTCATACGCGCGTATTTGGAACACGCACCTTTTTTTTTTTTATATAATCTAGTTTCAATCTACCTAGTATTATAGATAAGATAATGGTGGTCCGTAAAATCATAAATTTTATATGTTATGTTACTTTTATGACTTTTTGTACTATTTTTTTTTGTACCTTATCGATATAAATGACAAATCTATCTATACTATATATAATATTGTAAGGGTTTTTCTTCGATCGCGCTAACCGAGAAAACCGATTTGGCTGAAACCCGACACTGTTGAAGGTTTTAGTACCACTTTTGTCAGTAAAAAAGTTTATAAAAGTTCATAAAAAATTAAAAACAATTGTACTTATATTGTGCGTGTACCTATATTATCAATCCGAGATTGATTATCTAAATATTAAAGTGCTTCAAATTGGACGAATGACTATATTATGTCCTAAGTGCCATGCAAAAAAATGGAAAAATGAAACCCATGGACTTGCTGCGCTGACGGTAAAGTTATTTTACACCAATTTGAGGATCTTCCAGACCTAATTAAAAGTTTAATTAATAATTCTCACCCTCTATCAAAACATTTCTTTGATAATTCTAGACGGTATAATACTCTGTTTCAAATGACATCGTTTGGAGCAAACGAAATAGCTGAAGGGAACTTCATGCCCTCTTTTAAAATTCAGGGTCTAGTGCATCATTTAATAGGTAGTTTATTACCCGAAATTGGGTATAATGCTAAATTTTTACAAATATATTTTATGTCAGAGTCGGATCAAATATCTATTCGAACAAATATGATTCCAAATTTAAAAAGAGATCTCATTGAATCATTGCAAACAGTTTTGAGTGAAAATAATCACCTCATACAGAGCTTCAGATCTAATCTGGAGTCGAGGTCTTTTGATGAGTTGCAAAACTTTAAGTTAATTATTCATGCTGACAGAGTTCCTCAAGATGAACACAGAGGTCAATATAATGCACCTACCATCGATAAAGTAGCTGTATTATTAGTTAATGAAGATAAAGGTCCCAGAGATATAGTTCTGCACGGTCGGAGTGGACACTTGAGTCGAGTTTCCGAATTGAATAGATCTTATGATGCACTGCAATATCCATTGATGTATACTAGAGACGAAGACGGTTATCACATTAATGTATTACAGAAAAATAACCAAAATCGAACAAAAACTGTCTCCTACGTGCAATTTTATTCTTATAGGTTTATGGTTAGAGAAACAAGTCTAAATCATCTACATTATTACAAAACATTATTCAACTAATTCGCCGTAGATATGATGGCAAAAATGATTTCTGAAAGGTGTAATAATAAGTTTATGGGTGGCATAACATTTGTTTTTCAACTATGTTGAAAAACTTTATTTGCGAACAAACATGAGAGTTTATTTATGCGGAGGGAACGATATTTTTCCAGCACAGTTGTTGAAAATTGGAAAAGGAACTTTAGAACATGAAAATGGTTACATTTCTGTCAATCACACGATTGGACGGGTGGTCAATAACGTGGAAGAGTTGATTTCTACAGTTTATCCTGACATTTTTAATCTATCCAATAAATCTTATCAGTGGTTATGTGAAAGAGTTATTATCTCTCCGAGAAATGTAACAGCAGGAGAAATTAATGATATCATCCTTCTAAAATTCGATGGACACTCACGTGAATATCTATCTATTGATACAGTTACATCAACAGATGATGCTATTCATTATCCACAAGAATTTCTCAATTCTCTTTCTCCTTCGGGATTTCTTCCTCATAAGCTAAAATTAAAAATTGGTGCTCCAATTACATTATTACGTAATCTTCAACCACCGAACTTATGTAACGATACAAGATTACAAATAAAATCGTTGCGAAATAATATTATAGAAGCCGTAATTCTTACAGGACCAGCGAAAAGAGAAATTGCATTTATTCCAAGAATTCCCATGATTCCCTCTGACTTGCCGTTTTCTTTCAAACGGCTTCAATTCCCGGTTAAAGTTTCTTTTGCCATTACCATAAACAAAGCGCAAGGTCAAACATTCAAGTACGTTGACGTAGATCTTCGTACAAAGTGCTTTTCACATGGGCAATTATATGTGGCATTTTCTCGAACAGGGGACCCGAATTATCTTATGATTTTAATTTCAACAGAAAATACAACAAAAAACATCATATACTCAGAAGTCTTATAAAATTCTTATTTTAATTCTTTTTTTTTCTTTTTTTTTTCTTCATCAACTTCAATCAAATTCTTTATCAACCATAAATTATTTGTTTTTTATCTGTATTTATTTTTATCATTTATAACGCTAGAAAAATTTCAATCCGTTTTCATTAACCGTTTTTTTATATTTACTTGCCGATCACATTAAACAATAATATTTGAATATAAAATTCTACATATCATGGTCCGAAGGCAAAATAAACAACCAATCACGGGCGAAGCTGTGACGGGTCGGCTATATATATATATTATACATATTATATATGTGTACGCAATGGCAGGTACATAAGTATGTTAACGTGTTCTATGTATTCATTTAGAAGGATTAAGTGCGGATCGTTTTTGACCAAACTAGTGAACATCAAAAGATTTATATACAATAGTGCCACGCAGTGGCGGAACTACATATAGATAAAGGTGTGATTTCACACGGGCCTCCAACGATTTAAGGGCCGTAACATCAAAAGTAAAACGTGTGTAACGCTCAAGTGATGTGGACTGTATCGTGGTGGCGGCTTTAGCTCCACCCATTTTTGTGTTTGTACGAATGCGCGTTGTAGTAATGCGGGATTGTATTATTATTATGGTATCGACACTTGTAGCTGTAAATCCCTTAAAAGCTATTTTGTTATTGATGTATACTGTTCCGTACCTACTCGCGTTATGGTTATTTATATAAGTAACTGTTTACTTAAAATTGTAGTTACACTCATGTAAATGTATATAAAAAGTCAATCAAAATTTAAATCAAGAAAATCACTTCTTTACTTGTCATATAATTTTTCTTATGTTATTTGAGCTATATTAATTTGCTTAAACATTGTTTTGTATATTATAATATTGTTATACTTTGAGACTTGAGTCTCACTGCTCATGCACCTATTGTTGCAATTATTTAATATTCAAATTATAGACTGTAGTCATAGGCGTGCGCACAGGGCGTGCCGGGCGTGCCCAGGCACGCCCTGTGATTTTTCATGGGCCGAAGCGCCCTATGCCTCTGATCTACCTAAATTACAAAATTCAATTTTAAAGAGAATTTGAAAAAAATTTTAAAATTTAATATGTGCACTCTGTAGATGAAAGTTTGTATATATTATTGTATATAGACATATTTTGGCTAAACATTTTGGCATAAATATTCTTAGGCCCGGATAAGACTAGCATTTTATCGGCGAAAACGCAACCCTTTGTGATCGTTTCAAACCAATTTCCGACGGTTCAGAGAATCGGTCAAGTCTGGTCGCGATAACGCGGTTTATATGTTATTTATAGATGTTGCGGTTGTTAAGCATATGGTTATAGTTTGATCATAAATGTATATATAATAAACTAATATAATATAGTAAAGATATATAAAAAGATTTATAATATATTAATAAATTTAATATATTAATATATTTATTTATATATTATATTATATATAATATATAATATATATATTTATTATAATATATTATAATAAATTTAAAAAATAAATATAAGAGCTTACGTAGGGTTTTCCATTTATAATGACATACAATTCTGAACTCATGCATCTCAATCAGCGAGTAATCTACCCGTTTAGTGGTGTATATCATATTAATATGTTATTTTTATTTACTCGGGTACACGTACTGTGGATTGACACACTGTGTACACAAATCATTCCTATACGATAGCATGTCGTTCACGTCTTCACGGTCGTTGTGAAATTATATTTTATTTTCTGCTAATTAAATTTAATTGTAACAATTGAACTATGAATGTTACCAAAAATACAATTACAAAGGGAGGAGCTGCTAAAGAGCGTGAAAAAAAAAGAATTAAGTTAAATGTAGCGGCAAAATCATGTCAAAATATTCAAAACTTTTTTATGCAAGAAAATAAAATGAACAAGCACAATATTAATGATCCTGCTCCTGTATCAGACTTAGTCTTGGTAAGTTTGTATTTTGTTAACATTATGTATATTATAGCAGGGTTTCAAAATATTATTTAAAGCAGGGGCGTATTTAGACTTACTTCTAGGGGGGGGGGGACTCAAATTTCCATTAAATGAAATAATTAATTTTAATTCAGGCTCAAAATTTACAAGTAAAAATTTTGATATTATTTATATCAGGTGAATCCTTAATATTTTTGGGTTTTTTTTTTTTTTTAATCTAATGCCTGTCCACTTGAATGGTCTTTTATGTAGTTCTTTTTTAACACCTATCTGTGTTTTGAAAGTTTCGCTTGTGTTTTATCTAATTTTTCACTAAGTATGGACTGGGTTTTCAATCAAAATAATATATATTATTTATCGTTATGGGACATAAAAACGTTATAAGTAATTGAGCGTTTGACGCTACAAATAATTTAAACGTTATTAAATTTAAACCTTTAAACGTTTTAAAAATTTAGCGTTTTGCATTATTTAAATTAGTGTAAAATTTGAAACGTTTTCAAATGTAGTAATACTATAAAATAAATCATAATTTTTGTTTCTTAATAAAATACCCATTACTTATATAAAAATTGTCTTGGTCTAAAAATTCATGGGGGGTTTGCCCCTCCCTCAAATACGCCACTGATTTAAAGTATATATATATAACACACACATATATACATACAGTATTTCTGGAAATACACAATATTTTAAGAATTGATAATTATCCATAGAATAGAAACGAAAAAACGTATTGTTATTTATAGCTGATAACCTGATTTTCCAAACTAAATAAATAGATTTTTCATACACAAATTATAGATTTTCATATAATAAATTAAATTTTGAAATTCTATTTAAATAAATATATTCTGATCATAGTAAACAATTTTCCAAGATTTTTGAAATTTTCCAGGAGGGACATATGGGTCCCCCCTTATATGGGCGCCCTTGGCCACGTACATCATATTCATCAAAATTAGCAAATATACTATGAATAAGAAAAGAAAATATACTTATATTATTATAAGTAAAACTGGTTAAGTCTTTGATATAATTTGTTGTCCATAATTTAAATAATCTTTATCTTTTAAAATAATTTTGTCTTAGGCATGAAATTTAATTTAAATTAATCTAAGCTACATACTTTTAAGTTACTAAAATCTAGTTTCTTTTTATTTATAAAAATAATTATAATATTGTTAGGAGAAATCCAATTTTATGTAGCTTATAAACATCATCTATTGTTAACATTTTAAGGAGTTGTTCATCTTCACTTTTTCTTATGCACCTTCCACATTAGCCCAAAAATACTTTCAATAGACTTAAGTCATTGCTTTGTTAATCAAAATATTTTCCAAAGGTAGTAAGTTTGTAGTTAATGTATAAAATTCGTTTTGGTAAAGAATAAATCTAATTTGCTTATATAATAGTACGAGATTTCGGTTATAAGTATTTATTTGGTTACAATATTATTAAATTTAACAATAATTTTAGTGTTATTATCTTTTCTTTTTTTTTACTCGAGCACATAATATATTAAAATTTTGTAAATTTGCAGTGACTTATGATTTCTTTTAAGTTTTAATTGTTAGTAACTGGAATACCACTTATTGAGATATTATTAACTATTAACTTTTCAGACTTATTTTCATTTTTTTCATATGAAATAAGTTGTTTTTTTAGATTCATGTTGTGCTTATCAATACCAAATAATTTCTCTTCAACTGATTTAATTTCAGTGAGTAGGCATTCAATTTTTTCCCGTAATTATCTTATGACCGAAATTTTCATCTTGATTAATTCTCATATTTCAAATGATTTCTTCAGGTATTTTTATAAGATGTTACGTTCAGGTAATACTGTGATGATGGTCAAGTTTATTGCTGGTATATTATTTAGGATATTGGTTTTACTTACTGTCTACAGGTTTGATCTCGTATTGATATAAAATAGTAATTTATAAATAATAATATTTAGTTAAAATATAGAAAATTGATACATTTATAATTAAATAATAAAACTTCACCAAGGGGAATTTAGAGTTGGCTCGGAGGGGAATGTAGTAATGATAAAATTACAAAAATAATTATGTTATTTTAAATTTACAATGTGTAAAATAGAAATCACTATATATTTTCAGATTATTTTGCATCGATAACAATTATATTCCTATAACAGCTCATGTTCCTCTTAGAATGATAACATATAATGATAGACTAGTAATTTATATTCTTAATTATTTATACATTACATTTTTTAAATAAATTAATGTATTATATTAAAAAAAAATATGAGCCATGGGGGTAAATGCACGCTTCGTCCTCCATCAAATACGCCCTTGTGATAGATACCAAATTTGATTCGCACGACTAAAAAATAGTTAAATGTTAAAAAAATGTTTAAATTTAAGGGGGGAATAGGATGAAATAGGTTGAGAACCACTATTGAAAGGGATTTGTGGAAGGCTTTGCTACCCACGGATCACTTTGGGGTGAATCATTTTAGCATAACCAAGTTTTATACTGAATGTGCGCCTGTGCCAGACATAAATTTGAAAATAAAATGCAACATAGCCTCCTGCGCTCATTGGCAATTAGATTTTAATAAGAAAGAACAAATACGTGTTCAAGAAAATGGAGAGTTTACCATAATAAATTACAAATGTGAGTAACGTTTACTGATAATATAAAAATAATAAACATAAAAAACAGTCATCGTATAGTGGCCCTCACACGATCAATATTACTGACAATATTTTTGATACTGACAGTATTATTATTGATCGTGTAATGTGAGTACTGATGTACTGTTAGTATGGAAAACCCATACTGATGACTGATGGAAAAAGTCGGATATCGAGTCGTCAGTATTTATTTACTGATGATTATATTGATAGTGTGAGGTCGATATTGACATGTCATCAGTATTGGCATCTCTGCGATGGATGACGGAAGTGAAACCACTAATCACGAATTCCGCGATCGGGTCATTTTGCGTGATTTTATTTCAGAGTACAAACAATTATCCGAATTGTGGGATGTTCGTTGTAAAGAGTACTCCAATAGAGATTAAAAAAATTCTGCCTATAAAAAACTTATAGTTTATTATAAACTTTTGAAAAACGACTCTACAATTGAAGCGCTCGGCCGAACAACGGGACAAGCGCCACTGAGCGCATTTTACAATAGACGCGTTTAAAATATTACGGACCATTTCTGTCCGTGTTGGTTGAACATTGCACGTAGCTCGTTGTTCCATCCGTCTTCTCTTAATCAACTTACCTTAATGTAATAATATCCATTGAGTCTACTAATCGGACAAAATATAAAAAATAAATATAAACGCAATAATGCCGAGACTGGCGCTTGTCCCGTTGTTCGGCCGAGCGCTTCAATTGAAGATGTAAAAAAATTAATAAATTTAGAAGAAACTTCAGAAAAAGAAGTGGTACTGGGATAAACGACGTCTATCAACCATCATCTTGGTTATTTGAAGAACTATCATTCTTAACGGATTTGGAAAAATCAATTAAAATCGTTTGTTACAGTATCAAAAATTGATCTAAACTACTGTAAAAAATACTGAGTATTGGCTATAATTTGTATTGACCGTTTGAGGAGTACACTGTCAGTAATGTAAATACTGTCAATATTTCTACAGTCAGTATTACTGATCGTGTGAGGTCCACTTATTTTCAAGTATTTTGAAGTTTCAACCGTCACGACTGATAAAAAACCGTGATTGTAGAAATTATTTGTTCAACCTCGACCAACCCATATCATTCTTTGGACCAACCAAATACGATTACATGTAAGTCGTTGAGGTTAGGTATGTTATCTTTTACGTTTAATGTTTACGTCGGGCGATTGGGTTTTATTTATATTTCATATTGTAGTTGACAATATAACAGTATTGAATTTGCAATTTTTTTTTCGTAATTTTTATACCTATATTTTTTTGCTACATATTATAATGAGTAATTATTATTAAACTTTAATTTTTTTTTTGTTCGAGGTACTTGTTCTTATTTCACTTAGAATCTCGGGTGTAATATGGCCAACTATAACGATTTTGATGATGGCAATGATTACATTCAATCGAAATATAAACATAGTGAGAATTGTTTTATTGTATTTAAATTATAATTCATGTTTCATAAGTAAACACATGAAAACTTTGTTCATTTTGTAATGGTTATACTTTTTTCCTCTGTAGGAAATAAAACAAACTGCGCTAAACAAAGCAGAAAAAAGTCAAAACGGAAGTCTTCTAATGGTAAATAGCTATTACTTTTCAAGTGTTACTCACCTCCAGAGTTTAGTCATGTTACAAGAGTTTGAATCGAGATAAATGTTGTGTTGGACTTCATATAACTTTGGAGTTATTTTTAATTATTATTTTTAAATATTTTGCAATAAGTATAAATATGTAGGATTATTTTTTTTCCTTTACTTTTTGAATGAGATTGAAAATGTATTTTATTTTATTGGAAAAAATGCATTGTGCTCAAATATTTTTTAGAATGTTTGATATACAATTTTTTGTTTACTATCATGTACTAAGCCTATAAATTATTTGACTGTTTATCTCTCAATTTATGTATTGTATCAACATGCAAGTTATAACTCTAGGATGTTATAAACCACAACAAAATATATAATAAATTAAATACTGTGTATCAAATGGCTTATGTATCCATATGAAGAAATCTTTATATTTAAATTAACTTAAATAAACTGCCATTACCAAAACTCTTGAAATATGCATGAAATATAAATTACTTATTGTTTAAATTTATTATTATATATGTGAAATATTGAACAGTAATGATCAGGAAAACAAATTTTAATGATTTTTATTTGTTATTTCAGATTCATCAAATTTTTTTATGATTATTTGTTTGGTTTTGTTTGTCCTATTATTTACACACAAATCAGAAAATAAAAATTTAAAAAAAGGAAAATATGTTACAACCATGATTGATACTAAATGGAATGTGGTACCTCTTGTCTTAGAAATAGCAGAGTACATGGCTGAAGAAAGTCAACATACTTTATGGTCCTTTGTTGATAGTATATCTGAGCTTAACCCAGCTCTAAGTGAGCTTGGTATGTATTAGAAAAATAATTAGTTTTTTATATATGTGAGTCTAAAACTGTCAAATTGATATTATACCAATTATTTTTAGATTTTTGTGTTCTTGGAAAGTTGTATTGAATATTGATTTTGTTACTTTCTGGTCAGAAAGATAGTAGTATTTGTCTTTAGAGCTTAGATTGTTTTTCTCAGAAAAAATTCTGTCTGTAGGAGAGTTCAAGCCATTGATGGTTGAGCATTGCTAATAGAATTTTATTCTTCTCAGAATGTTATTCCTTATTATATATAAGATAAAAAAATGTAAAAACATTTCTTATTATGTCTTTTAGATAATGATCAAACCAAATACCAGATTGCTATATCCAAGGCTGAATTATTGTTATCCAATTCTAAACTAAGACTGTTAAAATTTTCACTATCTATGCATATATATTCTCCACGTATTGAAATGTATGCCCAAATGGCAGCGGATCGAGGAGTGCAATGTTTAACATCTGTAGAAATTGATGGAGAACTTGTGTGTTCAATTGAGAAATTGAAAAATATTTTGAAACGAATAAGGGTTAGTTTTTAATTTATAGTTATATGTAGAGATTAACTATTTTTAACAATTATTGCATTTGGTTATATAGGCTAAAGGTTCAAAAGAGTCTTGCGAAATATATCACATTGATCATCACCATCCTTCTTCTAAAAATAAAAGCAACTCTGCAATTTTGTATGGTGAATTAGGAACAGCTGAATTTGCTGCTTTTCATCAGATTTTAAAACAATCTGCCCAAGATGGGTATATTGATTATGTTTTGCGTCATTTCGTTAAAGTAATATTAACTATCAATCTTATTAATAAGAATATATCTATGTTAATTAATACTTTATCTGCATAGGAAAAAAGTGAACAGAAAGTTCGCCTTTCAGGTTATGGTGTTGAATTACATATGAAATCCACTGAATACAAAGCAGAAGATGATAGTATTGTTAAAGATAAAAATGACATAAATATAAATGAAGTTGAAGAAGACATTTCAGAAATTGAAGGATTTGATTTTAAACGCCTTGTGTAACTATTCTTTACTATAAATTTGTTGTTATACTAGTTAACTATTAGTTTTTCTTTCATTTAGGGAATTATATCCAGATAAAAAACAAGATTTAATAAAATTTAGAACTCATCTATCTGAATCTAGTGGTGAATTGGCTCCACTTAAAGCTTGGCAATTTCAAGAATTGAGTTTACAAGCAGCCCAAAGAATAATGAGTGGTCCACCTCAAGATGCAATCCAGACTTTTATTCACATAGCTCAAAATTTTCCAACTCAAGTAATTTCAAACCAAAAACTAAATGAATATTTAGTGTATTATTTTCTTATATTTTTTTTTAGGCCAGATCTTTAGCTAATATTAAAGTTAGTAAAGAACTAAGAGATGAAGTATCCAAAAACCAAGAGAGTTTTTCAATGGGATTGAACTTACAAACTAGCGACACAGTGTTGTTATTAAATGGAATGTATTTTGACATAGATATCACTGATATGTCAACTATTTTAGATTCAGTTACTGAAGAACTTAGTGTAATGGAAGGATTATTTTCTTTAGGTAATTTATATTGTGTATATTAAAAAAAAATTTACTCATCATGTTTATCTTCTGTAGGCATAACAGATAAAAAAGCTATTTCTTCCATGTTAGCACTGGATTTAGGTAATATAAAAGGAAAGTCATATGCTGTAGATATTAGGGATTCTGCCATTCAATGGATAAATGATTTAGAAACAGATACTGCATATAAAAGATGGCCTTCATCAGTTGATGATCTACTCAGACCAACATTCCCTGGCATGTTACGTAGTATTCGCCGTAATCTGTATAATCTTGTAATTGTTTGTGATCCAGCTTCTAAAAGTTCTTGGCCTTTATTGAAACTAACTGATTCATTTTTAAATCATCAAAGTCCTTTAAGAGTTGGTATTGTATTTAATGTTTCACCAAAGCCAGCTATTGGGTTAGACAATGCTAGTGTAGCTTTGTTAAACGCTTTCAATTACATAGTTGAACAAACATCAAAGCCATTATCTGCATTTAATTTTATAACAAATATTTATACATCAATCAGCGAAGACAGAGATGTTAATGTGGAAGATGTTTTACATGGATTTATGAAGCAATATCCCAAGGCTTCTATTGATGATATATTTGGAGAAGATAGTGATTATGATACTGCTCGAATACTAGCAAAAGAGTATGTAACTAGAACAGGCTTCAGAAAATTACCCCAAGTATTACTTAATGGAGTTCCATTACAAGAAAAATCACTTGTCGAAGAAGACTTTGAAGAGGCTGTTTTGGTAGAATTAGTATCTCAAACTCAGACTTTACAAAAGGCTGTTTATAAAAGAGAATTAACTGATGGAGACAATGTTGTAGATTGGTTAATGAAACAACCAAATGTAATGCCAAGGTAATTTATGAGACAGATAGTTTTAAATGTATAAAATTATTTATACTAATTTTTTTTTTTTTTAGACTTAATTCACGTGTACTTAACACTGATTCGAAGAAAAATTTGAAATTAAATAATAAACATGAATCTATTTTTAAGTCTATGCATTATACTACTTATACCAAGCAATCTAGTATTAATCCTATTACTCATTGGATTGTTGGAGATTTTTCTAAATTATCTACATTTAAATTAATCAAAAATACCTTTGAACATTTGGTAAATAAAATATTAAATCATTATTATCCTTTAATATAATTTTATTCCTACATCTTATTGTTAGTTATAATAAACTAATTTTATTTTATTTATTCGTGTGGTATAGACAATGTAATATAATGGTGAATACATTTTGTGTTAATAAACAGGTAACAAATTATTAAATAATTTATAAACATAATATGAAGAAATATAGAGACATAATAATCAAATAGATAATAAAATAATATATAGATTTTTCATCCAATCAGTGGTTTCTGAGATCTAATTGAGAATATTCTTTAATTTCTCATTGAACTTTTATTTTAGACCGATTTCATATATAATTTATATTTTTGTTGGGGGCACTGCTGTCATATGTTATAATAAACTACATAGAATAAATACTTTGTAAATCATTTATTTTGAATTAATAGCATTCATTATTACTAATTTAAACATAATTATTATCTTACCTTAAATGTAAATTATATTATAATATAGTTTAATTTAAAATATATTCTACTTTTATAACTATTTAACTGCAATTTTTTTTTTTAACGGAAATATTAAATTTATTTGTCAATATTACTTTCTCGTAGTTTGGTAGATATTTCTTCATGTTGAAATTTAGGATAATTTTGGGTTTTGACATGTTTTATACATTTTTATTAATAGTGAATATATTTTAGCAGTTCAGAATTGTTATCCATATAATTACTTTTTTCTTTTTTCTTTTTTTTTTTTTTTTTACAGAAAAGTAATTCAGAATCACGAGTTAGTATTATTCCTAATCCATCAAGTAATGATGAGCATGTTATCAAATTAAATAAAATTGTTTTTGAAGCCTTTAAACAGAAAGATAAATTGAATATATTGGTTAAGCACTTATCACAAGCCATAGAAGCTGATAAAAATCACATTGAAGTCATAAGTTCACTACCTGTAAGATTTTAATTTTTTTACTTTAGTTATTTATAATAATTAATGCTTTTTTTTTTTCAATCTTATGTAGGAAGAAATAAATTTTGATGTTTCTAGTATAGATATAAAATCATATAGTAATTATGCAATTGAAATATTAAATTTTGAAAGTGGACAATGTGGTGTAATCACAAATGGTCGTATATTGGGTCCATTTGATGAAAATGAAGATTTTTTAACTGATGACTTTGCTTTGTTAGAACAGCATACTCTAAAAAACAGTGTAAATAAAATTCTTAGTATTCTTAAAGATTCAGGTATGTTGAAAATTTAGAAATTCTTTAAATGTATTACATGTTATATTTATCATATTTATAGATGTAGAAGAAATTACCAGTGATATGATCATGAAAGCAAGTGCCTTAATTAGTAGTCGTTCACAAACAAAAAATCGACATTCCATACCAGACGTTTCTACTAAACATAGGTAAGATAAGATAATGCATATGAAATTGTTAGATATACATATAATGTACTCTTAATTATTTTGAATGCAGTATTAACTTTTTTTTTTTTTTTAGTGTAATTAAATTAACTGCTAAAAATGAAGATGAGCCTATTTTCGAAATTAATGTTATTGTTGATCCAGTCTCTAGGGGAGCTCAAAAAGTTGGACCCATAATTTCTGTATTGTCACATGTACTCAATGCTAATATCAATATATATTTAAACTGCGTCGATAAAAATAGTGATATGCCTGTTAAAAGGTATGACATATTTTTTTTATATACAATATACCCGATAACAGTTTAATATTTGTATGTGTAAATTTCAGTTTTTATCGTTTTGTACTTGAACCTGAAGTCATTTTTGATAAATCTGGTCATTTATCTCCAGATCCAATAGCAAAATTTACTAACATGCCTACTAGTCCATTATTAACACAAATACTTCATGTACCTGACAATTGGTTAGTGGAGTCTGTTGCCTCACCTTATGATCTTGATAACATACGACTTGAAGATGTTGAAATGGGTGTTTATAGGTATGACATTTTAAACATAACTATTTTGTATTATACTAAAGTTTTGATATTTATTTAGCCGATATGAGCTTGAATATCTACTTCTTGAAGGTCATTGTTATGATTCAGTTAACATGAATCCTCCTCGAGGTCTTCAAATGACATTAGGAACAAAATCAAATCCAGTAGTGGTTGATACAATAGTTATGGCTAACTTGGGTTATTTCCAAATGAAAGCCAATCCAGGTGCATGGATGTTACGACTTCGTCAAGGTCCATCGGCTGATATTTATGATATAATTTCTCATGAAGGATCTGACCGTTCACCCAATAGTATGGACATCAAAGTACTCATTAGTTCATTTCGTTCACATATAATTAAAGTAAAAGTTGCTAAAAAACCTGGCAAACAGAATTTAAATGTATTGGGTGATGATGATGCTGAAAATAAAGGTCTTTGGAATTCTATTACTAGGTAAATATAATTTTATTTCTTTTTTGATTGAATGATAGACTTATTTAAAAAAAAAAAAAATGTATTTAATATAATATTTTTAAAAAGCCAGACATGTACTCAATGAGAATACTAATTTTATAATAATATTTAGAGTAACAAAATTAGTCTGTTCAGTGTTCACCTCAAAAAAAAAAAAAAAAGATCTTTTTGTGTTTTTATTTTACATATGAATATTATAATAAATTATTACAACCTTAAAATCATATATTAATAAAATAAAATGGAACTTATTAATGATTATAATTATTTGAAAACTTTAATTTCTTAGAAAACTAAAATATATAATAATTCGAAATTTCATATCCAACTTTGCCACTTTATTGAAATATATTACACAATAATGATTATAATATACTACTTACAATATTTTATATCCTATTGAATACTTTTCTAACCTCAGACTTTATATGTCCTATGTTTTGTATATTCATACACTTATTAAATTTTAAATATATGTATTTATTGCAGTTCTTTTAGTTCGGGTTCTCCAGATAAAGCATCTGATGAAACAATCAACATATTCTCCGTTGCTTCTGGACATTTATATGAACGATTTTTAAGAATAATGATGTTGAGTGTGTTGAAAAATACTAAATCTCCAGTAAAATTCTGGTTCCTTAAAAATTATCTTTCTCCTACTTTAAAGGTATTTATTGAATTAATTATGTATTTTAATTATATCAATTAATACAATAAAAAATATTTTTTTTTATGATAGGACTTTCTTCCCATTATGGCTCAAGAGTACAAATTTCAATATGAACTAGTGGAATACAAATGGCCTCGTTGGCTCCACCAACAAACTGAAAAACAGAGAGTTATATGGGGCTACAAAATACTGTTTTTAGATGTTCTTTTCCCATTAGATGTTAAAAAAATTATATTTGTTGATGCCGATCAAGTTGTCAGAGCTGATATGAAAGAATTAGTAGACTTAGATTTAGGAGGTGCACCTTATGGATATACTCCATTTTGTGAAAGTCGTAAAGAAATGGATGGTTTCAGGTGAGATTCCATATTTTATTATAGTTTAAATTTTTATTTATTATACATTTTTATTCATCAGATTTTGGAAACAAGGTTACTGGAAAACACATCTCCAAGGTCGTCGTTATCATATTAGTGCATTGTATGTTGTTGATTTAAAACGTTTTAGAAAAGTTGCGGCTGGTGACAGATTAAGAGGTCAATACCAAGCTCTTAGTCAAGATCCTAACAGTTTATCAAATTTAGACCAAGTATAGTATAAAATAAAAATGAATTAAACAAGTATTATTATTTTATGTTTTTCCTAAGGACTTACCTAATAACATGATTCATCAAGTTGCTATTAAAAGTTTACCACAAGAGTGGCTCTGGTGTGAAACATGGTGTGATGATGCTTCAAAAAAATCAGCTAAAACTATTGATCTTGTTAGTATTAATATGTATATAAATTATTTTGTTAAAAAGAAATATTTTTTCAATAATTATAAATCAAATTTTAGTGCAACAACCCATTAACTAAAGAAGCTAAATTAACAGCAGCCATGAGAATTGTTGATGAATGGAAAGATTATGATAATGAAATTAAAAAACTGCAAATAAAGCAAAGTGAACATGAAGACCAAGTTTTTAATGAAAAAATTCAACTGAAAGGTAACTAGTTCTTTTCGCCAATGGTGTATTTTCATATATTTTTCATGGGGGAGTTTAATTTGTTTTATAAAATAAGTGATTTTTTATTATTATAAAAAATACAAAAAGGTATGAATTAATAATTATATTATTGTATTATTATTATAAATACATTTTTTCTTTCTCTGTACTTTTGTAGGAAGTAATTTATGACTTTTGAACCTTTTTTTTTTCTTCTTTGGGTCGAGACCTGAGAACTTCCCTGAAAATACATCACTGCTTTTCACAACATAACATTTTTAAATTTTTAAATATTTTATCTAGGAAAAACATTTCTCAGCCATATTAAGGTTAAACTGCATAGTTTTGTTTTTTTTAAAATTATTTCATAGTCAAAGTACATTACTACTTATTTGTATGTTATTATTAAATTGGAAGAGTCCAACCTCTTGCTTTTAGTTTTTTAAATATTTTTTTATTTTTTAATATATATATATATATATATATATATATATATACTAACTGACCCGACAAACATTGTTTTGTCATATAAATTATTTCTAGAGAATATTTTGCTAGAAAAAAATAACTAATTTAATATAGGTGTGTAAGGATGTAATATATAAGGGAAAGAGATATGGAGTGCTGTGAACTGTGACGAAATATAAAAATGAAAAAACACTAAACATTTATTTTTTTAATAATTTATTAAAATTTATCCTTTAAAATTATATACATATCACTAATTATGACAATATTAGTAAAAAACAATATCAATCCCTTAATGCAACAGAGTATACAATATTTTTTGTTATCCCACCTTTCGCCAGCACAATCAAACTGGATGGTTCGAGAGCACGCCACGTAATTGTCCGTGTGAAAAACATAATGTGCTCAAATCTAAGCCACTGACAGACATTGTTTGGCCTTGAGACTTATTAATAGTCATTACAAATGCCAATCTAATTAGAAATTGAAGGCGTTTAATTTGTATTGGCACATCTGTGGATATAATAGGGATTCGCGGTAATAATATATTTTCACCTCGAAATTTGTCATTTAAAATGATGGCTTTGATAACATTTTTCATTCATTTTTTAATGACTAATCGCGTGTCGTTGCACAACCGTGGGGGTTTCAAATTACAAAGTAAAATAACCGGAGATCCAACCTTTAATTGTAAATTATGCGGTGGCATGCCTAATAAATCCAATGAGTTTAAAAACTGTTGGATAATTTACAGCTTCAGTAGCATCACAAACAGTATCATTAAATTTGTATGACACTAAGTCTCTTGGTAACAAATGTTGCACATCTTGAGATTCAATTCGTTGACGTCCACATTTTTTGCTGTTAAAATTGCTCTTTGTGCCAGCCACTCATGATATGTGTATTGTCTGTGAACATTAGGAAATATTTGGTCAATGAGAGCATCTTGCGAATCAATGATTGTACAGAAGTCGGTCGGTAATTGTATGCATCCCGTTTCATCTGTAGTAACTTTCCCATTACCGATATCTAATAATTGTTTTAAGAATCGTCCGCATGCACTTTTTTTTGATTGAATCGCAATTAATGTAATCGTTCGCCCTCTATCTTTACATACATGTCGACTATGAATTGTTGACAAAGCTTACTAACGTTGTCTTGATCGCGTCTAATCATCATGCATAATAATCCTTTGAACTAACATTCTTGTTTGTTTTGGAACCTGTTGCGGGATCTCGTTGTTTAATATTTATGCAATACCCGTCATTTAATACCAAAAATAAAATTAGTTTAAATAGTTTTTATTTTTTAATAGTTTTTTAACAATCATTTAATAATTCAATTTTAATTGCGCAGTTATCGACCTGGTCAAAAATTATTAAATTAAACTATAATTTATTAAACAATAGCACTTAGGAGTATAAAAAATAGATTAAAACCTATTCGCAAACCTACCAAATGTATATACAAAATTTCTTTAAAATCGGTTAAGCCTTTTTGGAGTAGTATGGTCACAAACACTGTGACACGAGATTTTTATATATATGATACATTCAATATACATATTAAGAATGTAGAGTTTCAAAAATAATTAATTAAAAAATAAGTAACTTTTACCATGAAAAATTTGTAGTGGTTTTTAAAAGATAATTTATTTTTGTTTCAGAATCACAAGACCACATAGAGTTGTAATGGATTTATATTTGAAAACTATAAAAATTCAAATGATCTCCAGCTCATAATAGTTAAGTGTCTACGATACTTAAATTCCAAATAAACAATTTACTGTATTATAATTATTTCTTTGATTAATTTTTGATTATATACTATGTTTAAAAATTATATACAATTGAATAATGATATTAAATTTATTTTATCTGTATAAAATGTTTTATTTATTTATTTATATATTTTTATATATAAACTATAGTTTATTGACAAAAAAAGCATGTATTTATTTATGTATACTTTTCGTAATACAATATGTCATCACAATTAATTACAAATTTGCCTTTTCACTAGACTAGTACAGTTTTGACAGTTCACATAACAGCACCAATGATATTTGCACTGGCAACGCTCCGTCTGCTCGACGATTTGAGTATTGTAACCTCGGCCACAGCACATAGTGTGGCAATTCTCTGTGCCGATTGTTGTGGTGTTGCATTTTCTGCAAAGGGAGTTCGAATATTACATAAACAACACGTGCCATCGTGAAATGCATTGATTAGTACCGCTCACCTGCCTACCGTCCCATAACTGCCTGCTTTCGGATTGTAGTTACAATAATCTGAAGACTCTGTAATGTACACCAATGAATTGTTCGTGTGCTTGGGCAGCCCGTGCCGAATGACTTGAATCATTTCCACTTTCACCGGCGTTTTGTTGTATAGTCTTAGCAGCGTCAGGCCCACCCCTATAAATTTGTCCGGCAGGCCTCTCCAACACGTTTTCACGTTACACGACCCCGACATACCGTGACACTTGCAATGTGTAGTAGCACTAGAGATGACCACCTGTGAAAACATAAAAAAAAAAAAAAAAATTAATGCTCGAAACCGTATAACATCGTCTCCTTGCCAAACGTAATTCCTATGATACCTAAGTACTTTGCGTATTCCAATTGTTTCGTCGTATCAGTACCCATCACACAAGGTAGGTCGTGTTTAAGGAAGGAGGAAATAGCTCACCCTGGCATGTAATATATGTATATATGGAATACAAATCTTTGACTTAAACGTGAACTGTTATACTGATTCGTTATGAAAATAAAAATAAAATGCATTCTTCTGTAGAAGTTAGAATTTTATTATTGTGTGAAATACTTCTGTGAGAGTTTATTTTACAACATTACACTGTCATCGGCTCAGCGGAAAAAAAAAATTGAAAATTCTTAAGCGTAACACCTAATCTATCTGACAAACGTCGGTTGGATAAATTAAAATTTGGTGTGCACGAGTAAGTTTTTGAAATGAAACGATATAAGTTTGAACTTTGAACAGGGTTCCGGAGAATGAATCGATCGAGGTGTTTACGTTTCACGTGTCGCGCTGACGTACGTTCAAAGCGTCGGTGAGTCGTGGTTGTTGTTCATCGCCGATTAATGTTCGCGCGAAATGTATGCAGAGAATTAATTATTTCCATACAAAATTTTAATAAAAAAAACGTACGTGGAGAACCCGCTCGTTTCGAAGCCCCGTCGATCGATTCCGCGAATGAAGGCGGTGCTACACGATCAGGCACAGATTTAGAACTCAAATTGGATGGCGAGTCATTTTTTTCGAAAGGACGAAAAAATAATACACAATTACGAAATAATGAAAGTAAATTATTAATTAAAATTAGAACATTATTAATATATTATGAAATTGTTAATTTTTAAAATTAAATAACCAAGTTTAATTTTCTTTGTTTTCTTTTTCCAAAATTAGAAATAATATCATCAACATTTATGGGTGTATTCTTGTAAATATCGAGCAAAGTAAGACCGGTGAAGCGTTCCTCTCCCATGTTTGAACGAAGCAATGTCTTAAGGCGCCTGGGAGTAGAGAATGATCGCGTGTACAGTATTTTGTAACAAGTTATTAAAACCTAAATTAGCGAGTAGCAAGTATATGGTATAATAATATATAGACATACGAGTAACGGATTGACAATCTTATCTAAGATAAGTTATCTTTCCGTCAAAAGTCGAACACTCAAACATTTCCGCAGATTTGCTATTATATTTATATTTACTCGCCAACAATATTATAGTCCATCAGTAAGTTTATAAACACTATTAATATTTTTTAGAAGTTGGATAGAAATAATGATTTTAGGAACAAGTGGTGATATACCTAGTTTAAATTTATGTAAGTATAATATATTGTATAACATTTTTATTGCGAGAAAAAATCAGATTGAAAAAAAGTTAAAAACGAAATTTATGTATATTTTTAAGGACCTAATGTTGATGATTTTGTTTGGAGAGGGTGGGGTTATGACCCCCATGATCCCCCTGGATTCGTGCCTGTACCCAATGCGTCCAATACCTCCTTCAAATGTTGGCCACACGATAGTTCGCCACGTCGAGTAATGGTAATACATAAGTTGAGTGACGAATGTATGTTTCCAACGTTGGCGTTGGAACGATCCCTCCTGAAAATCGGTATTTTTGATCCGTGTCAAACGAGTATCAATCAGTTGGAAGCAAGTTGCAACTAGCATTAAGTACGCGACTGCACGATGTGACACGTGCAGTCCTGTGTCAGGTTTTAAATGACCGTTCTCTACTACTGTTTAAAGACACCCATCCACCCACTTCTTGCATGTCATTTTTTCCGAATCAATAACTTACCGCAAGACGGTAAAATCACAATAGCAGCAGCAATAGCATTCACGTCATCCACGTTATCTTTTCCCATTTTTTTTCAAGTTAAATTTACACACACACACGGATACACCTACACCGGAGGGAAGTATGCGTCTAACATGCCAACACGGTAATACCGGACCCAACGTTGGCTGCGACGTGTGGCCGCGTCTGTGAGCCAAACATCGATTCCGATGGACGTTCAGCCAACAAAACGCGTTTGCACGTGAACGTCGGAACGGATGTTCGTCAAGCCACGAGGGGAAAACCCTTTCCGTCGGCCAGGGACGTATTTAGGTTTATTTCTAGGGGGGGGGGCGACTCAAATTTTTTCTTTAATTCATGCTCAAAATTTACATGTAAAATGTTTGGTAATATTTAAATCAGGTGAATCCTTAGTATTTGTGATTTTTTTTTGATCTAATTCCCCGGATCCACTTAGAATCGACTTTTGTGTAGTTCTTTTTTAATACCTGTCAGTGTTTTGAAAGTTACGCTTGTGTTTTATTTGATTTTTCACTAAGTATGGACCCGACAAAAAGCCCAATTCAGTATTCACAGCCATGCGTAATTTGATTTCGTTATAAAATAATCCACGTTAAAAAAAAAATTTGAAATGTGTATCTCATATATAATCAATTCCTTAAATACGGATTCAGGAGGGGGGCGATCGCCCCTTCACCTCCCCTAAAATACGCCCATTCCGCCGACAGGAGGAGGAAGAATGAGACAGACGGGTTGCTCTCACCTTCCGTCCGATCTTGTAATTGTGCTCGTCCACGATGGTCATGGCTCTCTGTTCGCGCGTCACCGCCTCGTCATTGGCGTTGGCCAGCTGCTGCGGCGTGTCCGCATCGCCGCCGCCACCGCCGCCGTCATATTCGCCCGCCGCCGTCTTCTCGGTCCGCACGAACTGCCTGGCGAACTTGGCGCCCCACCGCACGTTATCGTCGCACCCGCTCCACTTGAACGTGCCGTCCGTCTCGTCCGGGTGCGTGCCGCAGCCGCAGCTGGACAACGCGCCGGACGCGCAATCCCGGGTCATGGTGTACGTGAGCGCGGCCGAACTGAGCGCGTACACGAACGACTGTTCTTTGGTGCCTGCGAAAACGTTCGCGCATATGAGCATGTATTGCGATCGCGTTGCAAAATAACAATAACAATAATAATCGTCGGGCGCGTACGCGAGAAATTTATTTATTTTTGCCGGGGGGTGGGGGGGGAGCGTTTAACGTTTACACACTTATACGATCTGTAAGCTTGTTGAATAATTTTCCTGGATTTCGGGTCAAGCCCTTAAAACCCTTCCTTGCGTACCTTGCGTACGCGCGCCCGCTAATAATACTAATAACTAAAGAGCGAATTTAATTGATACTGCAACTTTTTGTTGATACTCAGTAAATCAAATCTGATCAAATATGTGGCTGCATTTTAACTGTCTCCCGAATTTAAAATTACTACACTAGTTGGGTCCCGGAATTTTATAAGTACTACACTAGTTTGGTCCTGAATTATTTTAGGTATACACTAGTTCCTGAATATTTTTTGGTAAGAATTACATTATACTAACATTTTCCTTCCCATTTTAACAGAATAAGGACTGTTTATGATCTATTTAGACCAGTGGTTCTCAACGGGGGCAATATCGCCCTCAGTGGGCGGTGAAGTGTCACAGAGGGGCAATGAACTAGTTTTGGGCGGTAGGGGGGCGGTGAACTAATTTTGGGTGGTAGAGGGACGGTAAACGGTTCACGCAAAAACGTTGTAGATGGTGTCGGTGTGACCTAAAAATAATTCATACTTGATAATCCATACAATAACTATCAGTCACTACTAAATCTACGCATTGCACTATAACTTATCTTTGATTGTTGACAAATTTATTATCTTAATTATTTTAGCGATTGTGCGTTGACATTATACTTTATTATAGGTACCTATATTAACCAACCTTTTAGTACACCGTTTGATTTGACCCGCGTATGTTGTATATTAGTTTTCGTTATATTCAGTCGGTTGGTAAAGTGTTTTTTTTTAAATTGTTTTCAATTTCATAAAATTGTATTTACAAAAAAGTCTGATGCAAAAAGAAAATGCCGTCAATATAATACGACGTATTTAAAGTTTGGATTTATTCCATCGCCATCCAACATACAGCTCCCTATGTGTTTAATTTGTAACAAAGTGTTCTCCAATGAGGCAATGAAACCATCTCGTTTGCAGGAACATTTGCAAAAAGTTCATCCTGACAAACAAAATAAAGATTTGTCGTTTTTCACAAATATTAGGGACAAGTTTCTGAAGGCACCATCGGTCTCAGGCTTATGCGCAGGCTCATCAAAACAATGCGATGATGGTTTGATTGCTTCTTATAATATATCGAAATTGATCGCAAAATCGGGAAAAGCCCATACCATAGGCGAAGAGTTAATACTTCCAGCTGTCAAAGAAATTTTAGAAACGGTTTTACACCATTCAGCCTCACACAGTGTAATACAAAATGTCCCATTAAGCAACGATACTGTGCGACGGCGAATCGACGAAATGGCGGAAGACGTTGAAATTTCATTATGTGAACTTCTAGTATCCACCGAATTTTCACTTCAAATCGACGAATCAACATTACCGAATAATGAGGCATTACTATTGGCATACGTCCGGTTTGTAAACAAAGGAAAAATCGTTCAAGAAATGCTTTTTGCAAGGACCTTGATTACTGACACTAAAGGTGAATCTATTTTCAATATAGTCAAAGACTTTTTTAAAGAAAAAAATATTCCTCTTAAAAACGTTATATCTATTGCCACTGATGGAGCACCTGCAATGGTAGGACGTCATCGTGGGTTCATAGCTTTTTTTAAAAATGAAATACCCGGTATTTTAGCTATTCACTGCGTCATTCACAGACAACATTTAGTTGCAAAAAACCTCAGTGATCGTTTGCATCAGTCATTACAATATGTTATATCTGCTGTGAATAAAATTCGTAGTAATTCGTTGAACAATCGACTATTTACAAAGCTATGCAAGGAAAACGACGAAGAATTCAATCGCTTGCTTTTACACACCGAAGTTCGCTGGCTCTCCAAAGGTGCCTCCCTCAATAGGGTTTGGAATCTTTTTGATTCTGTGCTTGAGTTTCTTGAAGAGAAAGATGTAAAGCTCAAAGACAGGTTGTTACTATTTAAAAGCGATGTTGCTTATATGACCGATTTATTTGCAAAGTTTAATGCCATTAATTTGCAACTGCAAGGTGACGAGCTCAATTTAATAACGTCAAAATCGGTTATTTCTGCATTCCAAAAAAAATTGACTTTGTGGAAGACCAATTTTGGTCGCCAAGAGTTCAGCCAGTTCCCAGTCTTGGCTGATCTGCACAAAAACAGTGAAATATCTTTCGACAACATACAAGTTTACTGTCAACTTCTCGAGTCTTTACATATGGACTTTTCAGAACGTTTTAAGGATATTTTGTCGTGGAAAGTTCCTCAATGGGTCATGAATCCTTTTATAAATATTGAGACAGCAGAGATACAAATTCAAGAAGAACTAATCGAACTTTCAACTGATGAAACATTGAAATCCAGTTTCAAATGTAGTGACCGGCTCACGGAATTTTGGCTTAAAACTAACATAGTTCATAATTATCCTGGACTGTGGTCTCTCGTTAAAAAATTTTTAATAGCCTTTCCTTCCTCATACCTCGTCGAGCGAGAGTTCAGCACTGTAACAGATTTGATTACAAAAAAAAGGAACCGACTGGATATCGTGACAAGAGGAGATTTACGACTTAAGCTAACAAACATCGAACCTAATATAAAAAAACTTGCTAAAAACCACCAAGTTCAACCATCTCATTGAAGCCTAGCAATATATTTTTAAAGAAAATAAAAAATGTATTTATATTTATATTTTTTTAAATTAATTTCTATAATACTAGTTCTATAAATAAAAACATGAGTTATTAGATCATTTCAATTTTTTCTTTTAAATTTTCCAAATAACCTTAATTATAGAGTTCTTACATTGTAGAGGCGGTTAACAAATTTATTGACACTCAAGGAGGCGGTAACTTAAAAAAGGTTGAGAAACACTGATTTAGACCAAAGGTATGGTTAAAAATGTTTTTTATAGTTTTTTTTTTTTTTTTGGTTTTTAGTTTTTTTTTATTAATTTTTATTTATATTATATAATGATTTTAAAATTTTTAATATTTTTTAATTTACCTATATAATTATATTATATAATATGTATTTTTATACTTGATTTTTAATATTTTATATATTTTTACCAATACAATTTTAATAATTTATATTTTAATGGAAAAGAAACTAAAAAACAAAAAAAACTATAAAAAACATTTTTAACCATACCTGTGGTCTAAATAGATCATAGACAGTTCTAAATCTGTTAAAATGGGAAGGAAAATGTTAGTATAATGTAGTACTTACCAAAAAATATTCAGAAACTAGTGTAATACCTAAAATAATTCAGGACCCAACTAGTGTAGTACTTATAAAAATCCGGGACCCAACTAGTACACTACCTGCGATTAGCCCCTAGTATTCGGGACCCAACTCGAATGCTCCGAAATATGTATACTAATCAGATTAATTACAGCCTTCCTATTTAATTTAATAATGCAATTTTTTGCAATTTTCAAAGAATTTGCAATTTTTTGAAATTATTACAATTATTATTTCCAAAGTGATTTTACAAAAAAAAATATAATTACGATGTAAATTTTTACATGCAGTTAAATGTAGTTTAGGATTTTTAAAATTATATATATCTGTTATCCAAAAAACTTATAAGTTTAGAATCAAATAGTCGATTACTTAACAGTTTAAACATATTTAGTATAAATACTAAATAAATACTTACTAAATAAAAATATTTAGTATAAATATTTCTATAAATATTCCAGGTCACAATGGAAAAATAGTTAAAGATAAATTAAAATGTCTTAGAAAAAAATGAAGGATATAAAACTATTAAAATTTACTCTGAGATTATGACAGGAAATCAAAATATTTATTTAGATATAACACCCAATTTTTTAAACTATTTTAAATATGCATTGATAACAAATGACGTTGAACGTACTTTTTCATTATATAAACATATTTTAAGTAACAAACGATACAATTTTCAAGAACACAATTTAGAGATGTAGGTATATAATTATAAATTTCAATTCAGAAAAATATATTTTAATGTCCATAATATTATTTAAGTAAGTAATTAATGATTATATATTTGATATGATTTTACTATGTAATTTTAATGTATTTCATTGAAATTTTAACATATTTATACTGCAATTTTGGTACATTTTCATTGCAATTTTGGCATCGTTTTAGAGCAATTTTTAGATATTTTTAATGCATTTATATACGGTCTTTACTAATAACACTACGTGTGTTTGCGCAGTCGTACGCTGCGAGCGGAGTCGCGTTAAATCGTACTTTCGATCGGTGGTCGATGGGAGGGCGGAGATGTGTGTTTAGGGCGTGGGGTGACGATGTGTTCAAGGTAAACAAGAGTTTGAGTTCATGAGCTCTAAACGTGTGTTAGGGAGGGTGATTGAAATCATAACTATGACCTTAGGTGCCAAATGGATGACAATGTACGAGATACGTTATTTACTTCTATTTGCGCTTCTTGGAGTACGGCGAGCACGGCAAAGACTTCCTGAACACACCGCGATAGCAGTTGTTGACCACCATGCCGACCGATAACCCGGTAGGTACTATAGGTAAAGGAAATGAAACATAACTCACTGTCGTCACTTGTAACCTAGTGCTTCCAACGGATAAAACGCTAATGTATTTTATGTGTCCGAGGAAAGAACCATATGCCAGATTAATCGCTCCTATTCAATTAAATTGTATTTCAGTCGGCAAATAGAATTTATTCAAAGATGGTATAAGGTTTCGTGATTAAGAATTTAAATATTTACATCGACAACGCGTGTAATCAACGTGGAATCGACTTGTAGAAACGGCAGAATGACAATCGCGTCCTGCGTAGAAAGTTTGTCGGGACACAGAATTAGAATCAATACGTATGTAAAACAGGATGTACGCGTTCTCCCTAGACTACACATGTAATTAGTACCGTTTACCCGCGCCGAAATACACTCTTATGTACGGATTAAAGACCCTGGAGCTAAGTCATTAGGGTAATATACTACTGTGTACTGTTAATTAACATAACGAGTTTTTCCAATGATGTAACTTGTTTACAAAACAGTTCTATCGCACTGAACTGCATCCACTAGCTATATCGATCAGCGGCTGCTTTTGAAACTCCATCGCCTCACTACCGAAGTTAACGTTATTATGATTTACGGACGTGTACGGACCACGAAAATATCATCATTGACACAAATGGTCACCAGATCCCTTTCGTTCCCGGCCCCAAGAAAAAAAAAGTGGGACTTGAATTAATCAAAAATCGAACATTGTGATCATAGATCAGATTTCGTTTCGTATTTTTTATTTATTTATTTATTTTTTTAATGTAGAAACCCATGCGGTGACATGATAATGTACTGCGAACAATTATTTTACTATCAATAGAAGTTCACCACATATCTAATAGAAATCAAAACATTTTTTTAATGCGATAATGATGTTTAATATGGAGAGTTTAAATATAATATAAATTTATTACGCCGAATTTATAAAATTGCCAATTTCACGAAATCAGCAGAAAAACTGACGTTGTTGCCAAATACGTAAAAACGGTTATTCGCCTTATCAAATACACAAAATCGGCAGTGATTGATTGCTAATTTTATGAATTAGGCAGACTTTTTTTTGCCGATTACATGAATTCGGCGATACATTTATTATTGTGACGCATTTAGCACGCGTACTCATTCGCATTAACACATCATCTTTATTACCTATGGTAACAGACGTTATGGTATGTACGAAAATTTTTTCTTCGTTACAAAAGTTTTTTTTTTTGCTCAGTTGGAACGGGATAAGGATATCGACGTTGCACCTAGCGTACGAATTGCACGTTAAAATAGTGGACATATTAGAAAAATGACATAATGTGTAATTCGTCGTATCACCTTGGCCGTAATTGCCAAAATGCATGAATATATTTTTATAATATAGTAGCATAATATTTTTATTTATTTATTTTTTTTTTTTTTACTGAATATGTATACCTTTTATATATATATAATTAATTATTAAAATTTGATTTTATTATATTTCCACAATTCCTGTTTTCTATGTTGGATCGAAGGCTCTTACCGATTTCATGCAATCAGCTGTATTATATACTTCGGGTTGTCGATTTTATAAAATCGTCAATTTTTCTATCGATCTCGTGAAATCGGTAATTTCAAAAATTCAGTGGAATATATATAAAATGAAAAATTTTATTAGAATGCAATATTGCAACTAGTTATTTTTGTTACTTTTCTATGCTTTAGAAAAATGTTCGTTCGAGCCTTATTTTTTATTGTTATTATTAAGGCTTGGAATTATATGCACTAAGAACGTACAAAATATGCATGCATTTATGCACTAATTTTCATTAAAATTCACTTAAATATAAAAATAAAAACGTATGTCAATTAAATTTATTTAGCTTAAAAATGTATGCAATTCATTAAATATTTAATATGAAACAAACAAATGTATTAAATATCAAGTTGAAATATTTGAACTGTAATATGTATATTGTGTTTAACTGTATGATGAATTACGAAATATTTTGATGATATACTGGGCAATAATTGTTGAAATTTTGATTAATTTTTTTCGATTAACAGTTTGCAGTTGTTTATTAGTTTTCATATGTTTAGTGACAGTAAAACGCTTTATACTGTTGACTTAAATTTCACATACCTACATGACAAAACTAAATTCGCCCGTCGGATGCAAAAATATTTTCTTCAGATTCCCCAACATATTTATGAATAAACAATTGTACTTTTGAAATTTTAAAAAGTAATAAAACTAATATCATGAAACTTTGGCGAAACACGACTAAAATATGGTTCTCGAAAATCTACTCAAGGTACAGATTACAACATCTAGTCCCGATCGAATTATCTTTATCTTGAAGCGATTAGATAATATAAAAATTAAATTCCTTATGAATCATAGGTATATGTGGGTAAAATCAACGAATATTTGTAAAACAAATGTATATAAAATACTTAGTATTTGACTATAATGCAATAAAAAATTGTAAAATACAGAAATATGTAAAAAAAAAAATTCTTAATATAACTTTGTACTTCGGATCTATTGACTATAATTCAAATTTGTAGCTGATCAAGATACTTATTGGACTGTTAAAAAAACATGCAAATTAACATAAATCCAGGTCCTAGTTATCATTAAAACTATCAATTAAAAATCTGGTCCTCGGAATAGAGTTTCAATGCGGTAGGGTCTTGAGTTTGAGTTCTAGAGTTTGTTGATAATTTTTCTAATTTGGTAGGTGAAATTAGATATTTGAATTAGAACAGGCCAAAACTCATCAGCTTAATACTCAAAAAATAAATATTTTAAAAACATGGGTTGTGTAAGGATTGTTAACAGTAGAAAATTGTTGACAATTTACTCTGGTTCAAAAAGACTTTTTTTTTTTTAATAAAAGAATCTTAAAATACCTATTTGTTATTTTTCGAAATTTGTACTTTAGTGATGTAATAATATTATAATCTACATAATTTGAATATAAATCAAAATGAAATAATAAATAATAATATTCTATCTATTTTTGTACGTCCTTTAAACCTTTAATGTTTTGCAACAGTGGAAATAATAGAATTTGTAGAATTATAGTATTTGATCAAAACGTTGGCCTACGCCTTGCTTTCGTACAAAAACATATTAATATTAAACACTTTACACAGAATGTCAAGAAAAATCTGTAAAATATAAACGGATTAGTACACTAAGCACATTATTATCGGTAGGCATTAAAGATATGTTAATCACTCGAGATGTCACCAAAGAGTTTGAATATTCATAACTTACGGCCCCATCAAACCGATTACACTATGCATACAACTTCTCAGAGTTCGTTTCCATCTATTAATATTATAATTCTACGCACGCGTAGGCTATTCAACAAATATGGTTGTTTCCCGTCAGTCGTACATGACGTTGGCCCTGTCGCTGTCTTCAGCCATAAGTTCTGTGACTTTCGTGTGATTTTCGTGAGCGGATTTGAACCCTGGGATCATCGGACCGTGCATTTCGGGCACCGTGCCCTAGACTAAGGCCTAGTGCAGGTCTTACGCGTGCAAGTCTCGCGACGTTCGTATAACGGCAGACATCGTTCGCGCGGTGTTCACACGTTACGCGCGTAGAGCCATTGGACGCGGCGAGGGGAGGAGGATTAATCTCGAACGATTTCTCGCGATTCTCGGGTTTCGACGTCGTGGACAATTTTTATATTAATAAATTACAAATGTGTTTGGAAAAAAAAATATATAACACGCTCGAACGCCTGTTTATACAAGACTCCGTATAGGTGTACGCCACACGTATACATGTATATCGTTCTGACCGCAGCGCGTGCATGTAATTAAAAACGGAAAATAAAAAATAAAACCGTGACTGCTTCTACACGGGTAGAGGAGCCCGTTGTTAACGCCTATGCGCCGCGTGGAAACGATGAAAACGAGTTATACAACCTTTGACCAGCTCCGGCGTGAGTCTCGGCGCGACTCGTACCGACGAACAGTTCCACCGTCTGTTTTGCAAAACCGTCTGACAGGCGACCACGGCTAGCGCGGCGGCCCGGGAAATGTGCTGCATGACCGGGCGCCAAGACCTGCAGATCCGTGCTTGACGCGAGTCCAGCCCGTACGTTTTGCGCAACGTCCGGCAAACGCCCACCTCGTCCCAGTCCACTTTGCCGGCCGCTTTCTGCATGCCCCTGGAAAACACGCGTCGTTATCGCGTTAATACGATTGTTACAATCATTGTCGTCGTTATCAGCACTTTTATAGGGTTTTAGGGTTTTCGTTGCATTTGTCAATTATTACCGAACAACAGTGTTCAAAACGGTAACACAAGTATACAGACAGCTATACCTACGTTTGTTACACTTAAGGGTACTTCGAATCTAAAATTTTGTACCGCGTATTTTTAGAATTTTGGTTTCGCAAAAACCTGTTTCTACATTTTTGCTTGTACAAGCATTCCATTTGATTGATTTTGTGTGTGTGTGTTTTAAATCTCGTGATGTCAGTTGCAATTGTAGAAAATCGTTTTGTCACTAGAAAATTGAGGAATCTTTGCATTTCCGTTTAATTTTTGTACACAATTCAGTGTGTTATAAAATCCGAGCACTGATAATTATAATATATTGTATTAATACGGTTATTTTAATTGTATATCTATACATTACATACTAGATAAACTATTCTTGTTTAGATGATATTTTACTAATTTAGATAAGAACAATTATTATTTCAATGAAAAAAAAAATGTGTAGGTTAAAATATTCTAATTCTTATTTATTCATATTATATTAATTTATATATGAAGGTATACCTCAACCAGAAGAATCAACTTATTAAGCAAAAAGTGAAAATATGTGTACATCTAGCCTAGAACTCATAACGGTTTCGACCCTTAAAAGTGTGATTTTCGAAAAATCCTTTCTTAGTGCACCTATACATATAGTGATAAGCAGTGGCGCCGAACACCTAATTTATCTATGACACATGTCGTTGTAGATTTAGTAGGAAGGGAACCCACTTTTTCATACTGGGGCCCGACTCTGAAGAGTACAGATTTTTACGTATAAAGATAAATAAATACGATATACAAATGATTAATAATGAATACCTATAATAATAAATAATTATTATTTAGCCCCAGTAAGTACTATTAAACAACTATGGGTTTGTAATAGATTATGTTTCTATAGGTACTCTAGAACTAAGTGATAATGTCTTACGCCGACAATTATGGACGTGAAACTATGGTAAATAATGAACAGTTTATTTAACGCATTTATAATAGATCTTTATTATATATTATATCTTTATTATATCGTTGAATATTTTTTAATTAAATATTATTTATTTTGTATTTTTACGATTTAAAACATAAAATAATTGTTAGATTGAAAAAAAAATTGGGTGAATGGTGAGGGGCCCTTTGTGTGCGATTTCATAGTAATATGTACATTTCCTATGTAGTAATAAATACTGGTATTAAGTATATTCCCTTAACATTTCAAATTAATCTGTATGATCGTTTTGGCTGTGGACTGATCAGTTAGTGGATGGTATTAACATTTTATATTATATATTGCTACATCTGTATTGTATAAAATATGAATATCCACCCCCGTTCAATTGCTGTTTGGTATTTCTCGCGGCGGCAAACGATTATAGATCGGTCCGGCGATAAGATTCCCATCGCAACAGACGCGACGTCGGTCGACCCCGAAACGGGTATTGGTGTTGTGCCACTGCACGCGGACGTTTATAACAATGTATAAATTATATTAGTCGCTGAAATTTTCCAGTTAAGACCCCGCCTTCCTCTCGACTTCTACAGTACTGGTAATCGTCTAGACTCTAGACCTAGTCTCGTCGACTCTTGATTGTGGCCGAAATCGATGGGGACTAACGAAGAAAAAAATAAGAATAAATAATGCATACATTAAATAATAATAATACGTATAAAATATATTATATTATAATGACACAATATTCAAAACGTTTGAGCAACGTATTTTTTTTCTTAACACGATTATTGTTAACACGTGGGTAGTCGCTCGCATATTCTTTGCCAGACTGTGATTCATTACTTGATATCGGAGATAATTTATTATGCTTGAACAAACCAAGTCCCGATTTCGTTTACCGCGAGGACCTTCGAGGTTTAAGTTTTTTCCATGTGAGTACAACTATTTTCTAGAAATATCATTCATACTGGTGGTCACACGAACGCTGATGAGACTATATTTACGGTACATAATTTACTAAGTGAAATGAGAGAAAAAGTCATGCAAACAATACATAAATACGCTTGTAGATGAAGTTGTCTTCGTAACTAAGAAAGATTTGTTTATAATAATTATATATTTACATTATATTTATTGTATAATGTATTAATAATGTATAATATAATTAGGTATATTATATGACAGTATATGACTTTACTTAACGAGTTGGACTATAATTTCTTTTACTATTAAATGATAATACCATAACAAATGTTTAAAAAGAAGCTAAAATATTTTCCACAAAACAGTTTTTTAACGAACCAAATTTAAAAAACTATTAATTTTTTAACGTTCTAACTTTTTTTTTTACTGTTTATAATAATAATCCAGTAATAATTTCAGATATCCGATAATTTTGTAAGCTAATAAGATATTAAAATGTATTCATAAGTACCAAAATAGAATATGACAAAACTATCGACATTAACAAGTGATGACAAAGATTCAACTAATATTTGATTGATTTTGTTCAATATTTCCCCTTGTAATAATCTAGGCTGTTGAGATTCTAACAAATAATTTACCAAAAAAGTAAAGAAAAATAATTTATTTACAATTAGTTATTAATAATGTAATAAAAAAAGTATTTCGTTGAAAAGTAAAAGTATAAGTTAAAAAATATGTTTTTACTATAGTTTCTAGTTAAAAGGGTTGCGCTCAATAAACTTTATTCCATATTTTATAAAAAATTTTAAAAGTTATTCTAAACCCTATCTACATTCCTTACAAGCCGAATAAAATTGAGAACATTATAATATTAATACAAATAAATAGCCAAAATTCCAAATTAAACAAGTTCATACCTCTCTAAAATCATAGAAAACGTCGTAATTTTTTACAATCATGATATCGAATACACGTAAGATTACATGTATGACAAAATACAAGAGTTTTTGACAATGATTTCAACAGTATAGTTTTTTAATTTCCGCGACTGTATGATGTATCATGGCAATCTGTGTATCGAAAATCAAATTATGTTATACCTATTAGATTATAATGGTAATACAATGTTTTCAATATACTGTTTATATACACACATTATAAAATATATTATTCATACTTGCAGTTTGTGCAGACTTTTATGATTATTTTAGTTCTCGATTTTCATAATCTACACAATTTAAATATGGATACGAATTGAAATTTCGAATAAAACTTGTCAAATCATTAAAATTTCACGATCGTGTTTCGAAAATCATCGTATCGCTATTGCGTTGCATACCACGATTGGTAAATATTGAAAGTTTTTAAATTTAACATTATATGTAATTATATTTATATTATATATTTAACTGTTATATATATATATACATATATTTCTTTCGTGTATTTAAATTTACAATCGAAGAAAGATATTTTTTAAAAATAAATTAAAAAATAATAATAAAAATCGTGTACCAAGCTGTTGATTAAATTTTTCTAATTTAAAAACTGTTTGTTGATCAATTTATCTTAATACATTGAATACATACTAACTATGTATACTCTTAACTTAAGTATATTTTGAAATTATTTTTTCTCGAATAATAATTATGTTACTTAGGTACTTATACTGCCAGCTCACTTTCGCAATCATTTATCACTACAAATACTAATCTATATACGATTTTATATTGTATTAGAAAAAAATTGAGGGAATATTACATAAATTATTTTAAATGAAAATCTATGTATGAGTAATACAAATATACGTGTATTTATGTACCCACATGGCTTTAAATAATGGACAAGTAAAAGATGATTGCGTCTCAATTATTGACATTGTAATTGCACCTGGAAAATATTTTTTACCCTCTAGAGTTAAGAAGTTTACTTGAGGGTATTAAATATTTATGTTTTGTTATAATCGAACAAGTATACTCTTATATATTTATTTTTTGTCCAACTACAAAATAAGTATTACCATGTAATAATCGCCAAACCGGTCCCAATCTGCGGTATGACGGAATAATATAGGTTCTTTAACGTGTGTATAATAATACATACTCTATATCATTATGAGGAAGATGCGTATGCACAATGTAAAAACCTTAAGTCTCGGATATTTATTAAACATCAAAAATAATAAAAATTTCACCCAAAATGTTCAATTAATGGAATCAAGCCATCTATATGCGACATAAATTACATACAAATAAATAGTATATACTACTATTATATACTATTATATATTATATACTACCTATCGATGGCAAAAAAAATCCTTTATTTTTTAAACATGTCCAATTAAAAAATGTTTGTTCAAATATTGTTGACAATTCAGTGACATTAGTTACGACAGAGCCTTCAATTAGTGATCATTGTTGTTGGGGATGATTTACAAGTAACTGAACCCATCACTATAAGATCAGACTGGATGTATAAGATAAATGTAGGCATAGGATATTTTATAAAAAATCCTCATAAGACAGTCTTTAATTACATTACGGGATCAAAACGAACTAAAATCAGTTTGCCCATGAATAACTACATTAATAATTATATTATAACTTATTTAATTTATTTTTCTTAACTATTAAACATTGAAATAGCTTTTATATACATATATTGACTGTTTAAGTAAATCCTGTCAATACGAATAGGCTTTAATTTATTCATATATAAATGATAAGCATTATATTTTCAAAATAAAATTGATTGCTTACAACTATATTTAAAACTGGTATTACATAAAATGTATCATCAATTGTTCTATAAAAAGCTCGCTACAGGAAGCGACGTAGAGAGTGCCAGGATGCCTATGCGACCCAAGGTGCACGATATTAGCCCGTAAATAGTTTACAAATATAAATATATAATATTAATATCAACATATTAATATTATCAACAAGTTTCGCACGTAAGACGAATGATGACTTATTACGTGTTATTTCACGTATATCCCTGAATACTATTGCTTAGATAAAGTG